ACCAAACCAGTTCTGTAATGGGCAGTTAACCAACACACGTGTGTAATGGGCAATTGACCAACACATTTGTGTAATGGGCAATTGACCAACACACTTGTCTAAAGGGCAATTGACCAACGCACTTGTGTAATGGGCAATTGACCAACACACTTGTGTAATGGGCAATTGACCAACACACTTGTCTAAAGGGCAATTGACCAACGCACTTGTGTAATGGGCAATTGACCAACACACTTGTGTAATGGGCAATTGACCAACACACTTGTGTAATGGGCAATTGACCAACACACTTGTGTAATGGGCAATTGACCAACACACTTGTCTAAAGGGCAATTGACCAACACACTTGTGTAATGGGCAATTGACCAACACACTTGTGTAATGGGCAATTGACCAACACACTTGTGTAATGGGCAATTGACCAACACACTTGTGTAATGGGCAATTGACCAACACACTTGTGTAATGGGCAATCGACCAACACACTTGTGTAATGGGCAATTGACCAACACACTTGTGTAATGGTCAGCTGACCAAACCAGTTCTGTAATAAGCAGTTGACCATCACACTTTTGTAATAGGAAGTTTACAAAACCATGTCTGTAATGGGCAGTTAACCAATACAGTTATGTAATGGGCAGCTGACAAATACAATTCTGTAATGGGCAGCTGACCATCACACTTTTTAAGGTGCAGTTAACCAACACACTTTTGTAATGGGCAGTTGACCTAGTGACCAACAATTTGAATCTAAACAATTTGACCAATAACGCCAACTGATCTAATAGATTGTGTGACTACGAGCATTTTTTTGTCAGATTAGTGCATTAGATTTTATTATTTGTCTGACAAATATAACAGAATTATTTACACTAATTATAATTTTGTAAAAATTACGCACTAGTTTGCCCTGAATACGTCAACTTGAAATAAGACACATACGTTCATATGAGGATTTTAAAATGGTGAGGGCATTCCGTGCATCTCTACAGCTATAAATGTTGTAATTATCTTCTTATTCTTACATTTCCACATCAGGATAAAAAAATTCTAATATCCAATAAAGCCAGTTAAATTCTTCCTAGACGTTTCCAAAGGGAATTAATCTAATTATATAACATTCTAAATATTCGAGAGGTACAGAGAAAGGTCTGAAAAAATGTTTAATTAATAGGCCGATGTTTAATTTTCGAAATCAACGCGAATAATAAATGCATTTAGATAAATGCAGGTGGATGGACGGATGGACGGATGGACGGATGGAAGGATGGAAGGATGGATGGATGGATGGATGGATGGATGGATGGATGGATGGATGGATGGATGGATGGATGGATGGATGGATGGATGGATGGATGGATGGATGGATGGATGGATGGATGGATGGATGGATGGATGGATGGATGGATGGATGGATGGATGGATGGATGGATGGATGGATGGATGGATGGATGGATGGATGGATGGATGGATGGATGGATGGATGGATGGATGGATGGATGGATGGATGGATGGATGGATGGATGGATGGATGGATGGATGGATGGATGGATGGACGGATGGACGGATGGACGGATGGACGGATGGACGGATGGACGGATGGACGGATGGACGGATGGACGGATGGACGGATGGACGGATGGACGGATGGACGGATGGACGGATGGACGGATGGACGGATGGACGGATGGACGGATGGACGGATGGACGGATGGACGGATGGACGTTTGGACGGATGGACGGATGGATGGATGGACGGATGGGCGGATGGACGGATGGACGGATGGATGGATGGATGGATGAATTGGATGGATGGATGGATAGATGGATGAGCGGATGGAAAGATGGACAGCCTGTTAGACGAAAGTATAATATACTACTCATTACAGCTCTACAAATGTATTTGTCAGAAATAGTATTAGTAGTCTATATAATACACATCTTTACTCACCAAAGGTCATCGACCCCAGCTTTACTCAATACAATTCTGCTCCAGAAAGAATGCGAAAAAAATAAACCCAAAAATACATTAAAAAATGCAAGCCACCCCCCCCCCCTCCCTCAGAAGTAATCCTTTGAATTATCGGAGCAGAAGACGCCCTGTGTACAATTTCTTGGCGACGATTCCAGATGATTTCACCTGCGTGTATTGTTAGAGTCTAGAGTCATGGCTGACTGCAAGACATGATTACACTGTATACATCAAGGTGGGAAGAAAGGGGAGAGATTCATGACATCTGGAGAAAGTGAAGAGATTCATGACATCTGGAGAAAGTGAAGAGATTCATGACATCTGGAGAACTTGGAGAGATCCATGACATCTGGAGAAAGTGAAGATATTCATGACATCTGGAGAACGTGGAGAGATCCATGACATCTGGAGAAAGTTTAGAGATTTATGACATCTGGAGAACATGGAGAGATCCATGACATCTGGAGAAAGTTTAGAGATTCATGACATCTGGAGAACGTGGAGAGATCCATGACATCTGGAGAAAGTGAAGAGATTCATGACATCTGGAGAACGTGGAGTGATTCGTGACATCTGGAGAAAGTGGAGAAATTCATGACATCTGGAGAAATGGAGAACGTTGAGAGATTCATGACATCTGGAGAAAGTGAAGAGATTTGTGACATCTGGAGAAATAAAGAACGTGTAGAGATGTGTGACATTTGGAGAAAATGAAGAAAGTCATGTCATCTGGAGTATGGAAAAGTGGAGAGATATGACATTTGGTGAAAACGAAGAAAGTAATATCATCTAGAGTGAGTATGGAAAAGTGGAGAGATGTATGCCATGTAGAATATGCAGAAAGTGAAGAGATTTATGACATCTGGAGAACATGAAGAGAGTCATGACATCAGGGTGAAGTGAAGGGTTATGACATCTGGAGTATTGAGAAAGTGAAGATGGTCTTGACATCTGGGAAAGTGAAGAGAATTGTTTTCATTTACAATATTTTACCTTAATCGTGCGACTGTTTCAGAGAAAATTGCTAGGCGATGCGTTGATGAAAAATAAAATACTCATTTTTAAATCGCATGCTTTGTTGTTTTCTTTACCGTTTGACTCTAAGTTTAATCAAAACTTTTAAAAGATGTTTTAAATTTTAGAGGATTACTTTTAAAGCTTTTATTATTTTTTTAATTTTTTTTTTTTGTGTGTTTAAAAAATGGGGCGACGCAGCGACCTTTAGCAAGATTTGATGACAAGATTTGATGACAAGATTTGATGACAAGATTTGATGACAAGATTTGATGACAAGATTTGATGACAAGATTTGATGACAAGATTTGATGACAAGATTTGATGAAAAGATTTGACGACAAGATTTGATGACAAGATTTGATGACAAGATTTGATGACAAGATTTGATGACAAGATTTGATGACAAGATTTGATGACAAGATTTGATGACAAGATTTGATGACAAGATTTGATGACAAGATTTGATGACAAGATTTGATGACAAGATTTGATGACAAGATTTGATGACAAGATTTGATGACAAGATTTGATGACAAGATTTGATGACGAGATTTGATGACAAGATTTGGTGTAGGGGCTGATGTGGATAAACTTCATTGGCTGGAACACACTGCAAACACAACACATCAAGAGCACAGCAAAAAACATCAAGAACACAACACATCCTTCTTGAGCGTTGATCGATCAACTTAAGTGCCAGTTTACCCGGGTATTAAATTATCGCCTGCATGTTTGATGCCCTAGTTCGTACCTCGAGTCACAGTTCGTTAGCTAAATCAATGGTGTTTTGTAGTCAATACATTTCGTCCATTTTCTCCATACAGAACTTGTAGCCTGTAAGCCTGGTATATTAGATAAAACGATCTGCCTTGCTGGTACTTTTAGCGCTGATTGGGAATTTTGCATGACAGCATCTGATCATACAGGGGAATCGATTTCCCGCTTAATTGGACGTGAGTCATTACCTGTTTTGACCATTGACTTAATGGGCGACAAATTAGTGTCAATTTACAAATACAGATTTGTCGTCAATTTCCTTTGATAGTCCAGGGCCTAATTGGATCACTTTGTTAGATTGGGAGCTAACTAGGTCAGTTTGTTAAAACAGTGTCTAGTTCAATCCTCTTGTTGAATCGGGGTCAAATGGTTTATTATTTTTTAGCAATAATAAAAAAATTAACCTAACATTTTAGCTTAAGTTCGACAGCGTGGTCGGATGGTTCAGCTAAGGACTGATATGCTGTAAATCTTGAGTTCGGATTCCGGGATCGAGTCTGTAGGACGTCCCTGAGTCCACCCAGCTCTGATGAGTACCTGACTCACGTTAGGGAACTTTATGAGGCAGGGCTTAGCTCTGAACACATTATCCCACTGTATGCGAGGTCATTGCAACATATTAACTCTACTTCCCCTGCTCCTTGTGTCCTAAAGACACAAGCAAAAAAAAAGAAAATGATGATCAGCTTAAGTTCAGCAGATAATTGATAAGCTTGTTTGTTTCTATTTTGTGAACTAATTTTACTCTTGTAATAAACAATGTGTTACAAATGCCAGACTTACCTTGAACATCTTATATCGCACTCCACCCCCTCCCTTTAACTGAGTACAATATACTGACCGCCCCCACCCTTTAACTGAGTCCACTATATACTGACCGCCCCCACCTCTTTCACGAAATCTACTCCAGCTACTGGTAGTGTGAGTAATGTGAGCTAGCATGTGACCTAGGGGTCAAGGACTTCCTCACCCGACATTGATTGAATGAAACCCTCCAACACTCCGTATCTCAGGGAAGACACCATCCCTCCCGCCATGTCACTAATGCCCCCCCCCCTCCCTCCCACTCCCCCACCCCCCGGGCGATAAGAGACTACCCGTGTCGCTGTGTGTCGCTGTGAGCGCGGCCGTGGGCTCGGCCTGAGACAACTCGACTCACCATCATCTCCCCTCCCTCTCCGCTCACCAGACAAGGTGGAGCGCGCGTGACGTCGCTCACTTCCAGGTGGGAGAAACCTGTCATCTGTGACCTGCTCTGTGACCTGCTCTGTGACCTGCTCTGTGACCTAGTTTCTTACTGGACTGCATGGATTACCTCAGGACCTGTTGAAGTAACTACACGGTACGTCATACGTTCTGTCTAGTATTTCTGCGAGTCATGTGGTTTTTGCTCATTACATAGCACTCACTGGTATTCATTATACATATATGTAGGTATATATATATATATATATATATATATATATATATATATATATATATATATATATATATATATATATATATATATATATATATATATATATATATTTATTTATATATATATTTATATATATATATATATATATATATATATATATATATATATATATATATATATATATATATCTTCACGGGGGGGGGGGGGGTAGATGCGGCATGCGTTCTGTGGCACCATTTAGGGTTTGACATCGCATTTAAAAAGTTGAAAACTTTACTGTCAAAACTATGCATCATTCAGTAAAAATAATAAAATAGCAGAAGAGACAGATGTGACACCAAAACCAAAATGCACAATTGTTGAATGGTGTGAGGTGACATCCTCATGTACATCACGTGGTGACACCCGACCAACGGGTGCTACTGGTGTTGAGGACCCCGATGTCTAGTTAGACATCCCTAATACATGTATCCCTAATATACATACCTGATATATACATAATATATCCCTAAAACATCCTTTACGATTTATTACTATTTTGGTTTTCATGTGTCTATGTTATCAAAGCAGAACTTTTAAAAAATGTATCCTCTAACCAACGCAATCTAATCGAGTGACTCACCACGGGCGATTACTGTCTTCTGTGAATGTCACATGACACAAGCACGTGAATGCTAAGATTTATTATTTATCGTGGTCGCTGTTCAGTTTTCACAAGTCATTTGATCATCAGATCATCAAATATAGCACATAGGCTCGAAGTAATACGTTTTACACACAGTGGGCTTTGGGCTGATTGGGCTTAGTTTCCAAAGCCAACGGTTTGAGACTTTTTTTCGGGGAGGGGGGTACTTGAAACTTTCGGGGGCGGGGGGGGGGGGGGCGGATAAAATATTTTCCGGGAAGGGGGGTAGACACTGGTAAAGGTGTGTATTGTATTTTCTAAATAAATCCTATTTCGGGGGGGGGGGGGGGTAGACTTTCTTCGAGGAGGTGCCCCCCCCCCCCCACCAAGGATGTCTGAAAGAAACAGTAAAGGCGTAGACAGAATTTTCTTTCGGAAGGGGGGAGGTTGATGAGTTGTAAACCACCAAAACTTCCCTGCATATAACCTACTCCAATCCCATTGAACCTTGATTTATTTTTATTTCTAGCCAGATGTACCGAATATTATGAATTAATATCAAAATACACATTCAGCAGATGAAGGCCATCAATGCGATGCTATTTTTAGTCCTGTGTTAAAAATATAATGTTTGTCCAATTAACAAAACGTGGCCTGGAATTAACGATTACTATGAGGATAATGACAATAAAAAAATTTATTGCACTTTTCAACGTTTTTTGTTTTTTTGTTTTTCAAAACGGGCTTTAAAAATATCTCGGCATTTAAATAATATTTTTAATTTTCATTTTCGTTTTGTTTCTTCTCTTTTGTCCGTGTCCTAGTTTTTCAAGATTGATGCACGAGCTCAGTTCGATCTAGAGCAGACGACACTCTGCCTGGTGTTGGGCTATCTGTGTACATTTGTAATACTCAGTTCAGTTTTTTAATTGTTTGGAAATGTGATTAAAAAAAACTAAACCAAAAAGCAAAAACGAAACAAAATATCTTTTTAATACAAAATGTGAAAATGTATTTGAACACAATGCGGACGATCTAGTGTAAGAGTAGACGAGAGATTATTGATTAGGTCTATACAAGATAAGAGTTGTGGATAGGATAATGGATGTTCTGTAATACCGCCAAAACCAGGTCGTTACTATGGAAAAGATGTCGTCCAAAAATAGCAAAGCTTGTTTTCATTATTTTAAAAAAATGGCCACTGTGAGTAAAGCGTCATGGGTTACCATTAGCATTTAATACAAAAGATGCATTCCGGATTTAAAGTTGTGATAATAATAGAAACTTGTTATTCGTAATTTAGTGATGTATCGAAATATGTAACAATAGTAAACAAACGATGTTACAATAAGATATAATTTACAATGGAACACTACACCAATGTGAAATCATATAAACTGTGTACTTGACATGTTGCCTAGCAACTAGCGTAAGACCACAACAATGATAACTTTGATTTCCCCCCCCCCCCCCCCCACACAACCCTCAAATGGAAGCAAGAACCGTTGATTAGATTAGTAATTTGTATATAAACTATTTTTTATATAGATACATTCAATAATTCATTAATTAAGCTAAATCCACAATTCTAATTTACAACCAAACTCCCGACTTGTATTGAATGTAGAACTAAAGAATTCAATCGCATAAATAAACTTTAATGGAATAGATTTTTCTGACTAAAATGACAATACATAAAATATGTATTTTAACTTCCTAACAAGACCGACAGTTTCACAACCAAACAGCTGATGTCTGTGATTAGATCCAGTGGCGTAGCGAGGTCTCGCGTCACCCGGTGCGGCACTTAATGGTGTCACCCCCCCCCCCAGAGGCGTAGCGACCCTTCCCGGGGACAAACTTTCAAATTTTCGATTCGAACCCCCCCCCCCTCAAACTATCAATTTGCACCCTCCCCCTCAAGTTTTTCCCTATATATTTTGCTATTTTTTGCCTTGGTGTCACCCCCTAAATAATGTCACCTTGTGCGGTCCGCACCCCCCTCGCCACGCCTCTGATTAGATCTATATGTTTTTGTCAAAATCGAGGCATTTTTTTCCAAATTAAAAGACGTACAGAAATACTTTCTTTCTTCAGATAGAGGCATAATTAATCTAATCTCAAGATAGTCAACAGAGACCTAATCTATCTGATCTAAGGATAATCCATAGACACCTAATCTATGGGGTCATCCATAAATGACGTCACGATTTTTTGGACTTTTACCTCCCCCCTCCCCTCCGTAACACATCGTTACAAAAAGCCAGACACCCCCCCTAAATGACGTCACACCTCAGCCTACAACCCTTCTTAAAATTGCAGTTGAGTTTTTCTAAAATCATCGATATTTTCCAAAATCTTGTCTGAACTGTCAACAGAGTATTTAAATAAATTCCTATTACAATTTATTAAAACAGTTTTCTAAAACGGGAAATAATGTCTAAAATTCGTTTTCTAACATTGCTTTTTTTATGATGCAAAAGTGTGACTTCACATCATCTGAACCCCCCTCCCCCTCATCACACACTCACAAAATTACGGACCCCCACTCCCCACTACGAGTGTGACGTCATTTATGGACGACCCCTATATAGAGACCTAATCTATCTGTTCTCAAGATGTTGACCTAAGATGAATGACCTTAATTCGTGGACCTAAGATGTTTGACTGATGTTGACGTAATATCTCGGACCTTAAGACGTATGAGTGTAGGATGTCTGAACTTTGTATGACATTTCGCTGTCCACTCCCCCCCCCCCCCAGCTACCTGACATTTATCTGTCCTCTCCCTAAACTACCTCACATTTAACTGCCGTATCTAACGATGTCCAATTTCCAGCTTTCTAGCCTTGAGCTGTGTGGCCCAGAGTTCCCGGACGTTTTACCCAACACCCACCACAATATCACGTAGTACACCCTACCCCACCCTTCGCACACATTTACCCAACACCCACCACAATATCACGTAGTACACGTTACCACCTCCCCCCCCCCCCCACCGCACACAGTTACCCAACACCCACCACAATATCACGTAGTACACGCTACCACCTCCCACCCATCGCACACATTTACCCAACACCCACCACAATATCACGTAGTACACCCTACCCCACCCTTCGCACACATTTACCCAACAACCACCACAATATCACGTAGTACACGTTACCACCTCCCACCCATCGCACACATTTACCCAACACCCACCACAATATCACGTAGTACACGTTACCACCTCCCACCCATCGCACACATTTACCCAACACCCACCACAATATCACGTAGTACACGCTACCACCTCCCACCCATCGCACACATTTACCCAACACCCACCACAATATCACGTAGTACACCCTACCCCACCCTTCGCACACATTTACCCAACACCCACCACAATATCACGTAGTACACGCTACCACCTCCCACCCATCGCACACATTTACCCAACACCCACCACAATATCACGTAGTACACCCTACCCCACCCTTCGCACACATTTACCCAACACCCACCACAATATCACGTAGTACACGCTACCACCTCCCACCCATCGCACACATTTACCCAACACCCACCACAATATCACGTAGTACACCCTACCCCACCCTTCGCACACATTTACCCAACACCCACCACAATATCACGTAGTACACGTTACCACCTCCCACCCATCGCACACATTTACCCAACACCCACCACAATATCACGTAGTACACGCTACCACCTCCCACCCATCGCACACATTTACCCAACACCCACCACAATATCACGTAGTACACCCTACCCCACCCTTCGCACACATTTACCCAACACCCACCACAATATCACGTAGTACACGCTACCACCTCCCACCCATCGCACACATTTACCCAACACCCACCACAATATCACGTAGTACACCCTACCCCACCCTTCGCACACATTTACCCAACACCCACCACAATATCACGTAGTACACGTTACCACCTCCCACCCATCGCACACATTTACCCAACACCCACCACAATATCACGTAGTACACGCTACCACCTCCCACCCATCGCACACATTTACCCAACACCCACCACAATATCACGTAGTACACCCTACCCCACCCTTCGCACACATTTACCCAACACCCACCACAATATCACGTAGTACACGCTACCACCTCCCACCCATCGCACACATTTACCCAACACCCACCACAATATCACGTAGTACACCCTACCCCACCCTTCGCACACATTTACCCAACACCCACCACAATATCACGTAGTACACGCTACCACCTCCCACCCATCGCACACATTTACCC